AATGTTCTGCTTTCTTACAGCTTTGGGTGTCCTTGGTCTCTCAGAGCTTCCAAGAGGCTTAGCTCCTAGCGTCTTGGTCAAGGTGAGGAAGATCTGTATCCCTTTTGGATCTGCCAAGTTAGTGAGCAGCTCTCCAATCCCATAAAATGCAGTAGCAGATGTGGGTTCAGCATTAGAATCCCAATGGGCTGGGATTCTAAAACTGCTGTCCAGATGGAGTCCTGCCCTCTCCTCTGGCCATCCTGCCCACAGCATCCAGCATCCAGATCAACCTTAAACATTAGAGCCAAAAGGGACACATTGGTGAGAACATTTGTTCAAGAAATGTAACCAAGAATCTATGGGACCCTGCAGGGTCTAAGAGGACCATGAACTTGCGTGCAAAGCATCATACTGCGTTTTTCTGATGGGACTTCCATCAGATTCTCAATCTTCACCTCTCAAAAAGTTCAAGAAGCTCTGACCTAATGTGATCTCTTGTTAACATGAAGAAACAGAGAAGTCAAGTGACTGACTCAAAGTCTCACAGCCAGGAAGGAGTGGAGCTGGAACAGAACTTGGGGGTCGGCTACAACCTACTCTCTACCCCTGCTTGGGATCTAGAACAGAATTCCCCAAAGCAGTCCAGGGAGCTCTTGTATCAGGTTAGACCTTTGGATGTCTCAGCCCACCACAGACCTGCCAGGCAGGTCTCTGAAGGCAGGGCCCAGGTGTTTAGCAAGCTCCCCTAGTGTTTTAGTTTCACAACTAAAGTTGAGAATCTGGGACCATCCCTAAAATTTTAAAATGCATATAAGACACACACACACAAAGGTTAAAGTAATGAGATGATGCAACCACTTTCAATTCTTTTGGCAATTTTTTTCTGATACTTTTCTCCACATTTGTAAATAACACCATTTTAATGATCTTTTCTTCTTTCTTCTTCCTTTTCTCTTCTCATTCCATTTTTAGATTTAGATATTATCAGTGATTAATTATCATGAAAGATTAGGTTCATGAGGCTTATTTGGTGGTTTGTGGGGGCATGGTCGACGCTCCGTGTGCCCAGCTGCCTTTTACAACTGCTTTGAGCCCACAAGAAACTGAGAATCTCTCATAAACCTTCTTTATAGGAACGTGTGGGTAAGAGAGGCGATCTGCGTCCTTCTGACTTGCATTGCCAACCTGCCCCCTCTGCTGTCCCTTCCTGTACCCCAGTGATCGCTTCCTTCCTATTCTAACATATTATAAACATTTTAGACAACTCCAGCTTTCCAATCATCATTACATAACAGACAGGCTGGGGGTGGGGGGGAAACACACGAAAGTGACAGAAGGTGGTGCCAACTGGAGATCATGAAAAACCTTTAGTGTAGCAACACCAAAGTCTACATCAGATACCTGGGCAAGAGGTAAGGGAGACACAGTAAGAAAAGATAATTCTCACGGCAAAAGTCTAGTTTCTCCAGTTTTCTAGGAAAACATTAGGCAGTAATTTCCAATCTATTACAGACACCAATACTCTAGTAATTTGCTTGATTTTTTAAAATCCTTTTGGGCACATGGATATATATGCCATGTGCAATTTGATGAATTAAAGTTTAAAAAATGGAAAATCCTATTGGTGTTCACAGAAACACCCTTCTTGGCCCCCTCCATGAACCAAAATCAGAACTGACTACACCAAAACAGCTGCAAGCACTTTTGACTGAGTACTGCCACCTAGCGGCAGCAAGTGTAAACAGCTTGGTTTATGCGGGAGTTGGGATCCACCAGAGTTAGAACTCAGCCTGGTGCCTCTGTGTGACTGGCACTGTTTCCTGGCCCCAGTGTCTTCCTTCCTTCTCTTGGCAGGTATTTTCGTGACTCCGCTTACGGCATCTTGTTGTGAGATAGTCAACACGTTCCGAGTCTCCCCCAAAGTGTTCCAATACTGCCCACCTTTATTCTCTGATTGTCATTCCACCTAGGAAGAAGCTGCGAGACCAAGGTGGGCAAACTTTTTCTGTAAAAGGCCGAATAGTAAACATACTAGGCTTTGTGGATGAAGAATGTCACCTATCATGACAGTAAACAAAGGATGTTGGGGCCATTGAGCCATCAGTCACTGCAGCCGCGGCGACTGCACGCTGGAGAAAAGAGGACACTGGCCCTACATAGCTAAGGTGCACACCAAAGGAGTGGGTTCAGTGAGCCCAGACTCTTGCATCTTTCCATACACAGAAAAGTCCTAAATTCCTTAACTTGAAATGTCTGGTTTTCTTTCATTAACAGTAATCTTTTGATGTTCCGACTACCTGGTCTTTGTTGCAAAAACTCCTGTATATCCTGGCTCCTCCCTTGCCTCTTTGGAGGAGTTTGTTAGAGCGATCTGAGAGGCTGCCTCTCAGGCTCGAGTCCTCAGCAGGTCTGCCAAATAAAACACAGCTCTCAACTTTCAGGTTGTGCATTTTGTTTTGGCTGACAACTAGCTAAGTCTGTTCTTTATTGAAGCTGTCTTGGATCCCTTCCCAGAATCTTTGATGTGTATTGCATTGGCCAGAACTTGGGTCACTTGGCCACTGCTAAAGGCAAAGAAGTTTGACAGTCCGTATAAATTTTCTAGTTGTACCTCTTGCCACATCAGAGGAACAAGATGAGGATGGGATGTTGATCGAGCATCTCCCAGTGGTCTGTCCCAGGATGTTTGTAAGGCTGCTCTTACACTGCCATCTCTCTCAGGTTTTCACAATTTCTTATCAATGGAAAACTATTTTCCAAATTCCAAACAACTTACAGTTACCGTGGGACAGAAAGAAAACTGAACATGGAATTGGAAGACTTGGGTTTGAATCTCAGCTGTGCTGTTTACTAATAGAATGCCTTAGGAAGGTCATAATCTTGCCAAATCTCAGCTCCTGAAAACTGAAAATGATGATCAGGCTTCCCCCCACCCCCATCAACCCTGCCGACAAAGTGGATGAGAAGATAAATGTGCTAATATATGTGAAAATTCTGGAAGATGTGAGTCCTGGCTGAGAGTCAGCGTGGAAGAGTAAAGGGCAGCTCCAGTACCTGTCAGGCACATGGAATTAGGTCACCTCCCGGAACAAAGCAAGAACCCACTGCAGATATATCTAAATTCATGTAAGGTCAGCACAAGACCTCACATCCTGATAGCCAGTGGTACCCAAGATTCTGAACTGTACAAGCAATTTACAGGCACTTCCACTCCAAGGAAACAGGCAGCATGTACAGGGTCAGTCTGGACAATGGTCTCCAGTCAATGAAACATGAGTCTAGGCCTTCACTTACTTCCGCTTCAGTGAAGATAATTGGGAAGGCATGTTTTCCCAACTGCATGATCAAAAGTACCTTTGAACTTGGCACAGATGCTCTCATGCACATAGAACAATGCTCAGCATGGACCAGGAGAAGGGAAAGGACATGACTGAGAAACCAGCACCCAGTCCCTATAACAAACATCACTTACACACTCTGCTCAGATGGTAAAAAAGCAGCACTCTGGCAAGGGACCTGGTGGGAGAACTCTTTGTTCTTTTTGTCCTGGTGATTTTTTTTTTTAATGGAAGTCCTGGGGACTGAACCCAGGACCTCGCACATGCTAAGCTTGTGTCCTTGGAGATGCCATCTTGGTTGGTTATACGCACTGTAACAAACGCTGTGGCATCTTACAGCATTTTTGCCGTGAACCTCAGTTTCCCTGACCTCTGAGTGATTAAGTACACTTGATGCAGTGGATAGAAACTCTTTGGGGGTTCCTGCTGGGCCTATATCCCTCTCTGGGAATGGTCCCCCTGGCCTCTGTCTGAATTCCATGGTGAGCAAACTCTCGCTTTCAGGAATCTAAGACCCAATCAGACTGGAGTCAGTCAATGGGGGTGCATGCACTTGTATGGTTATGTCAAATGGGCACCATGTGCGGGCCAGAGTTTGAAGGGCAGGTAATTCGAGTAAGTAGAGACCACAGGTTAGGAGAAGGTCATAAAAAGGAAGAAGATAGGAGAGGAACCGCCACATCAGAAGGCAGCTGTTCACACCCTCCATCCCCATGAGGCCCAGTCTGGAGGCAAGTCTGAACCTTAGCCGGCATCTGTCCCATCCAGCTCCCCAAACCTTGCCATCTAATGCCATCGGGTCCTAGGAACATGAATGCGAATCCAGGGTCATTTGACTATATCTGGAGGACATTTTTTCAAGTGTCTTGCCTTTTTTCTTCAAAATAAATCCGGGATGCGTTTTACCCTAGAACAGGTCTATGCGTAATAGGAAAGCGCTTTCCTACAAAGACTTTTTGAGCTAAGCCGATGCCATGTATCCCTGTGGATTCTGAATTCTTGACGCACTGGCCCTAGATTGAGAAACAAAGAGTTTGTCAGCCTTCTGATTTTGTAGGTGGGAAGCATGAAGCCCAAAAAAGAAAGAGTTTTTCTTCTTTCCAACTTGCCCTCAGTTTTCTAATCTGAAAAATGTGGGCGTGTGGTACTTTCAGGGCTGCCATGAAGATTAAGAGACTGTGAATGAAGCGCTTAGCAGCAAAGTCTCTTAAAAACATGCCAAGGGAGGAGTAAATGGTCTCTCTCTCT